TTATATAACGTCCCTTCTAGTACATCCAGGAAATATCCCAGGCTGTACAATCCACCAAATATACCTTCACGGACGCCTTTAATATTTCATAACATTCGGAATGTCCCATAGGAACATCGGTCGGAAGTCCTTATTCGTACATGGACTGTTATGACTTCGGAAGAAACTCATTCACATAATATATCTGTCCATCTAAGTAATAAGTACCTACTACGCCTTATGGGCAATCTATGGGACATCTATTGGTGGTATGCATTGGCATGAGGACTTCAGATAGACATTCTATATAAATTATTTCAATCACGCGAGCGAATGGTCATTTTTTCTTCCAATGTCTTAGGAATGAGGTCATACGGACGTCCCAGTTGGTACGTTCAATATGTTGTTCCTGCCGACACGTTAACTTACTCCTAGCCGATGATCGACTGCTCGTATAGCCAATAAATACTCCTCGTCAATGTCCTTTGATAATTTATTGATGGGACGACCTCTTAGAAACCCAGTCATGTAAGATCTGGACCAAGGGAGACCAAAATAAATTAAAATTCGAGAATAATTCGTACGACCCTGGGACATGCTAAAGACATTCAATCAATATCCCTCCAGCATTGCTTGATTGAATAACTTTAGGATTAAAGTACAGGAACATCCTCTGAGGATTTCTCTAGTTTGTCTTCGAGTGAGACATTTGTGCATCTCACATCAGTCAAACGGATGTCGACGGTACCAAATTTAAACGTCTCATGGACGTCCTTAATGTCACGACGACACGTTCTTTTGAGGATGATGTCCATGGGACAAATTATTAGGGGAGGTAGGTGATAAAAACTCTAATAATTCAATAACATCATAGTTGTGGTAGTCGTTTTCTTAATTGATATATAATTATTCTGACAGAATTCACTACTATAAGACCATGGATGAGTTCAGTGATGATGAGTATGCACATACAGGGTGAGTCATTAATGTGGCAAAGTGAGATAACGGCCTTACAGTTTGAAATATATAGACAAAAGTTCCAGAGATGATCTAGGATCATGAGCAGCACATTTTCAAATTATTTCGCTATATACAGGGCGACTCAGAAATGCGTGGCGTATGAAAGTTATACTTTTTCTTATGAGACACCCTGTATTTCATTGCATTCTCGCATTCTCCTTTGTGAGCTGATTTCATCAATGCATCACACTTGGGGTCTAGCGAGAATGATTACAGAGATATAGGGTGTTCAAAATCGAGATTTTTCAACTTTAGGATTTTTTTTGCGTCGACACTATTCGTTATTGGTCAAATCGGCTTTCATGTTCCTATCCCAACTTTTGATTTACTATCTACTGACATTTAATTGGCACAAATACAGGGTGGTTCAAGATTCAGCATTCTGATCACTCTTGTATCTGTTCCAATTAAATATCAGTAGATAGTAAATCAAATGTTGGGATGGGGACATGGAAGCCGTTTTGACCAATAATGAATAGTTTCGACGCAAAAAAATCTTAAAGTTGAAAAATCTGGATTTTGAACACCCTATATCTCTGTAATCATTCTCGCTAGACCCCAAGTGTGATGCAATGATGAAATCAGCTCACAAAGGAGAATGCGAAAATACAATGAAATACAGGGTGTTCCATAAGAAGAAGTATAACTTTAATACGTCACGCATTTCTGAGTTACCCTGTATAAAGCGAAATAATTATTCATCTTTCTCAAATAGTAAAGCAGTTATCTCACTTCGCCACACTACCCAATCAGCCAAAGTACGTCTTAAAGGCGTCCTTAAGACGTACATGTCGGGACATAAATACGTCTTAAAGACGTACATATTACGCCCAAGAGACGTCTTTAAGACGTCTTCAAAACGTACGTTTTCCACTAATATGTACGTCTTTAAGACGTCTTTTTTAGGTGTTTTTGGTCCATGACCTCAAATTGATCTTTCAAATTACGGAAAAATCACATAGTTTCAGTTAATTTTCACCTGTGCACTGAAGTTAGCAACGAGTGCAGACAAGCAAAAAAAAGGGAAATAAACGACTTCATCAAACGGTAGACACAAGCGGTCACCCATTCAAGTACTAACCGCGCTCTTCGTTGCTTGACTTCGATGATTATACCATTTAAATCCATTCATTTGAATATTTAACTTTTACAGACATGCACTCAATATAAATAAAATCCTTAATATTTAACATGTATAAAATATATGGAACGCACAAAACGATACAAATAAATATACATATTAAAAGCCCTCCGGGTAGACCTCTATCGGTTCCCAGAGGTTGGCCACGAGTGGCGCAGGGGGGGGCGGATTTTATTAATCAAGTGTGTTGAGGAAGACGTCCGAACTACGTCCTAGGACATGGTCCTTTCCATAGCTGATAGGGCGAGCTGCTCAGTGCGAGCAAAAATTCGAATGTTTGGATAGCGCTATCATGAACTCTATAATTTGTCGTTAATTTGTTTGTGGAAAATTAAAGAAAAACCAGAAACCACATTCTGACAATTCGATTTGTAACGATTATACCATTCTCACTTCTTCTGTTACTCTGTTTGTTCTATATATCACATAACAAGCTTTTACTTTGTTTAACATGTCCTTGTGTCTGTTTGTAATCAAAACGTGCAAGTTAAATTTGACTCACTTCAAATCGTCCGATTGATTTGAAATTTGACAAGTAAATATTATTCTGGTGACAATTCGTTGTGATATTATTATTGAATGGAAAAAACAGAATGGCGGATCCAATATGGCGGACGATTTTCTCATTGATTATGTTCCGATTCGAATCAAAATTCAATATTCAAGATGGTGAATCCAATGTGGCATATGGTTTTCTGATTATGGTCTGATCTGATTCAAAATTGGCATCTGAAGGATTTCGGGATCAGAGATTATAATTTCTTTTGTCGAAAATGAAAAATCCAAGATGTCGGCTTCAAAATGGCGAACGAGTTTTGTGATTATAGTCCGATTTTATTCAAAATTGATTACTATGGGACTTTTGGGGTCGGAGAATATGATTTTTTTGTAAAAATTCGAGAATCTAACACAACTAAGGCTCCAAAATGTCGGACGAAAAAATTCAAAAACATCACTTTTGTTGAAAATAAGAAAAAACTGAACAATTGAAAATAAAAAACGTGAAGAGATGACATTTTGTTTTTCATCAGAAAATAACTTACATTATTGTTCTATAAGTCGAATTGACGTACTGGAATGTACGTCTTTAAGACGTCTTTTATACGACATGGGAGGAACGACGTGGATACGACCTGAAATGTAGGTCTTAGAGACGTAAATTCGTGTACGTCTTTAAGATGTACATGGATTTACATCTTAAAGACGTACTTTATACGTCCCTGGACGTAAAGACGTAAGTAAGTCGTAAAATGTACGTCTTTAAGATGTCTGGTGCTGATTGGGTAATGACTCACCCTGTATATACACTATATGTATGGACTTGCAAAATTCTTTACGGTCAATAAGTCCGAAACGAAGTCAGATAGACATTCTTTTATGTGAAGTTCTAACAATATCATTATATGGTCATTCATGGTCATTGACGTCATTCATGGTCATTGACGTCATATGACCTCAAAATGACGTCATTTTGACGTACTTAATATGACGTTATATGGACGTCCTTGATATGTCGTCATTATGACGTCATCTGATGGTCATTTTCATGACTAATTATGACCATAATTTATTGAGTCATCTACATCAAGGAAAATCCATAATCAAGAAGTTTCCCATCTCTGTTATATGAAAACGTTAGTAGTTATGTTATATAACATATATTATTATCTGTGCGAGATGTGTGTTTTCGATGGTCTCTGAGATAATTGTTAATTATATACCTTCTGTGCAAAGTATTCTCCCTATAGCTATTAAAAATATAAGACCGAATGTCACGTCATAAAAAGCTTATAACGTTGTTATTCCGAAATGCGAATTCAAATCAGAGCGGGAGAGTGCGTAGAGAACTGTATTTGATTGATCGGCACGGACCTTGCGCAGACATGCGAACGTCGACCGCCAGCGCCAACCCACAGCCGTATTCAGAAGACGGCTGTGGCCAAGCCGTTCACTTTCGCTTCGCCGTTGCGGCCATGATGACCATAACAACAAAATAACAATACATAGAAGGCCATCATTATCATGTTATTCGGCTATCTATGTGGTGTGTGTGGTGGTCATACTTATTCATATTCATATATCAAGTAGTAGAATTTGAGGATGGCAGCATGGTCATTATTTTAGACAAGTGGTGTATGCCGAAAAAGCAGAAAGTGAATTGGACGCCATTGAAGGAATACGATAGGGTTCTGAGAAATCTCTTGAGTGCATCATCCGAATGGAATAAGTTCCCAATAAAAAGAAAATTTTATGAAACTGGTATTTATAGTACCTACCTATAATATTATTTTGCATTTAATGTGGTGAAGGAACATCAATATAATTATACAAAAAAAATCTCATCTTTTCTGATGATAAGTATCGATACAACCCTAATGCAACAGTGTTTTTTTTACCTACAGAAAATTTCGAAATAGCACAAAATAAACTGAAACATGCAGAAGATTTCAGTGATATGAATAATCGTAAAGATCACGTCATTTTGACGCCATTAGGATGTCGTCATTTTGACGACATGAAAATGACGTCATTCGTCTTTGACTTAGAAGGTCATATAAACGTCATTATGACGTCATTTCGGAAGTCATCCTGACGTCAGGCCTGACGTGATAATGACGTACAAATGACGTCAGCTTGTTACCTGGGTTAGCCCTCTTGAAAAATTTTGGTTTGTCCTCTTCATCAATTGTTTCTGAATGTCAGAATACATGTTTTTGATGTCATGAGAAAGAGCTCATGAAAATATGTGCCCATAGGTGGACTAGTTATATTTTCTAAAGGATTCGGAAATTACACTGGAATTTTCGTAGTTCATCAATTCTTGAATGAAAGAGTCGATCGATAATGAAACAAGCTACTACAGGACGAATAATTTATTTATAAAGTAAATACCTTTATACAGAAAAAGATTACAGATATAATAAGTGATACTAATATGTATAATAATATGTATACGCTATCAACCTTATTGCTTACTAAGCTAAGTAGACTAGTTCAATGGCGCTCCTCCGGCACCGGAGCGATAAGTCTCTGCAGACTCAAATACTCGTTCCCGGAGCGAGGCCTCAGCGTGCAGCTCTGCGGCGGTGCGTCCCCGGAACTGTGCGAAGACAGCGACAGCGTCTCGAAATAGTCCGACATGTCCGAAGTCCCGCTGCTAGTGGACCCGTTTGGGCACACCGGGACTTCCCCCTCTGCACTAGAGGACTTGACCTCCGCCTTCGTGAATTGGAAAGTTAGGTCTCGCAGCGGGTCGGAGGACTTGGAGCGCCGCGGGAGGGTCTGACTTGGGGGAAAGTGGGGCTTGCGGGGAAGCTCGAAGACTCCCGAATCGTTGGAGCTGGAGGAGTCGCGGTTGGACTTGCATGGGACCGAGGAGGAACGCCGTACCGCCAGGGCGCAGTGGCAGGGGGAGGTTTCTGGGTCCGGGTCCGGTTCGCAGCGGCTAGTTGAAGAATCTGCCGAGTTGGACCTGAAAAAAAGATGGAAATATTGAAGTGAATATAGAACTTTCTCAATTTTTCTATTTCAGAAAGCTTCAATTGTCTTTCAGAATAGTCACTTGTGTTTCAGGAAGCGACAATTGTATTTCAGGAATCGTCAATTGTATTTCATAATAGTCAATTCGATTCCAGAAAGCGTCAATTGTATTTCAGAATAGTCAAATGAATTTTAGAAATCGCCAATTTGAATTCGGAATACTCACTTGTATTTCAGAAAGTTTCAATTGTAGTTCAGAATAGTCGATTCTATTTGAAAAATTGGTACTTTTTTAAATGCATGTGACTATCCTAGAATACTATTGACGCTCTGTTGAATACAAATGGAATAGGTGTAGTAACTGGTGGTAATGAAAATGAAGATGACATTTTCAGACATCATAATTATCAAGAGATATTCAGGATCAATAAGGTTGCAACAATTGTCAGCAGGAGCAAGATTTGTCTGACGCCATTATAAATGAGTATCTAGTTGTACCATAGCCGTGTATTTTCCAGAATTCTGAAGTTGTTCGATAATCATCGGATCATTCGATCATCATCGGATCATTCGATGCCGATGCATAAAGCACACACCAAATTGAAAACTTCATAATCATTAATGTATATCAAGTATAATATTCGGAACAATGACGCAACTTCTCATTCTTCCCGATTCCAACTAATTTTGATGATAGATACATAAGATTTACTGCAAGAATCTCCACGTCGATATAATTCAGAATCTAGATCAATCAATTCATTGAGTCGTTCAGTAACAACTTACCCCTTTTGTTCCTACAATACATCATCAAGGCAAGATCACTAGTTAGTTTCTAGAGAAAATACCGTTGTTTGACACGTTGAGATTAGTTAATTGAATTTCAGAAAGCGTCAATTCTATTCCGGGATAGTCACGTGTTTCAGAAAGCAAATTGTAGTTCAGAATAGTCAATTTCATTCCAAAAATTGGTAGTTTCTGAAAAACAAGTGATTTGAGATTTTTCGAATACCGTCGGTATGGCCTTCTGATTGTGCAACTTTTTTCTCATTCAACCGAATTCGTATCTCCTACCGTTTCCGAGATCCTCATGCTGTGTAGCCTCATCTTGGTTGGATTTAATACAAGTGTCTGTAATTATCCCCACCAATCGTTCTTTCATTCATTTCCTTGTGTTTGGCGTTTAGGATTGTTAGCGTATATTCTTCAATGATTGATGAACAAATATCGTGGTGTCTATGTTATTCAGTCTGAGCACTCACCCGCAAATGTACAAGTGTCTGTCATTATCCCCACCATTCTTGATCAAATAATGCATCTATCCGTCTTTGGCGTTTGGGATGGTTGGCGTATACTTTTCTTTCATTATTGATGAAACGCATAGTCTATCCCTCATTATTGAATCTGAGCACTCACCCGCAAATGGACAAGTGTATGTTATTATCCCCACTATTCGGGACTCCATTCAATGATTGGATTTTGGCGTATAGTTTCCAATGATTCATAAATGAATCGCGGAGTCAATCTGAGACCTTTCCTAATTTTTACCATTCGTGATTTGAATCATGCATCTGTGTTTGGAGTTCAAAATTCTTGTCGTATAATTTCGAATGATTCATAAATGAATCGCGAAGTCTATCTGAGACCTCACTTTTCGCTCCTCACATACAAATAATTATCAGCATTATGTATGTTTTCATTCCCACCATTCGCGATTCCATTCATCGTTCTGTTCTTGAAGTCCAATTTTTGGCGTATAATTTTCAATGATTCATAAATGAATCGCGGAGTCTATCTGAGACCTTACCCTATCTTCACCATTCGCGATTTGAATCATGCATTCGTTCTTTTTAGTATAATTTCAAATGATTTATAAATGAATTGCGAAGTGTATCTGAGATATCACCTATTCCTCCTCACATCCAGATTATCAGCATTGTTCGTGATCAGCTTCCGCTGGTAAACGTACTCAAGTTAATATTTTCATCCCCACCATTCACAATTCCATTCATTGATCTGTTTTTGGAGTTCAAGTTTTGGCGTATCATTCTCAATGATTCATAAATGAATCGCGAAGTCTATCATAGACCTTACCTAATATTCACCATTCGCGATTTGAATCATGCATCCGTGTTTGGAGTTCAAGATTTTCTCAGTATAATTCCAAATGATTTATGAATGAATCACTAAGTCTATCTGAGACTTCACCTATTCCTCCCCACATCCAAATTATCAGCATTGTCCGTCATCTGCTTCCGCTGATGAACGTACATAAGTGTATGTTTTTATCCCCACTATTCATCGATATGTTTTTGATGTTCAATTTTTGGCATATGATTTAAAATGATCCATAAATGAATCGCAGAGTATATCTGAGACCTTACCTCATTTTCATCATTCGCGATTTGAATCATGTATCCGTGTTTGGAGTTCAAGGTTTTTTTCCTATTATTCCAAATAATTCATGAATTAATCGCTGAGTCTATCTGAGACTCCACCTATTCCTCCTCACATCCAAATTATCAGCATTGTCCGTCATCTGCTTCCGCTGGTGAACGTACGCTCGAAGCATGGATGACTTCGAGGGGTTATTGGACCGGTCCAACGTGGGCCGCAGATTAGGGTTGCTGTTGAAGAGGACCTTTCCCAGCCGCTGCTCGACGAAAATGATTCCACAAAAATATTCCCACCATTCGCGATTCGATTCGTTCATTCGTGTTCGGCATTTAGGATTTTTGACGTATTCTTTTTGATGATTATGAATGCATCGTGGTGTATATTCATTGTGATTGAGTCTGAGCACGCACCCTGACATGGAAAAGTGTCTGTTAATATTTCCACTATTTGCGATTCAAATTCAAATTCCAAACTCCAAATACGGATGAATGAAATCCGTATTTGAAGTTTGGAATTTCTGGCATATAGTTTTTGATGGTTTATAAATGAATTGCAGAGTCTATCTGATACCTAACATGTATTTCCCCCCAAATTGGTGTTGCTATTGGCAAACAACTTGACAAGTCGCAAACGTCCAAGTTTCTGTTATTACCTTCACCATTTGCGATTCAATTCCTTCATATGTGTTGGGCGTTAAAGATTGTTGACGAGATTGTTGACGTATAATTTTTCATTTTCATGAATTATTCGCGGTGCGTATCCATTGTTATTCAGTCTGAGCAAAAAAGTGCACGTTTTCATCCCCACCATTCACGATTGCATTCAGTCATCCGTGTTTGGTGTTCAGGATTGTTGGCGTATACTTTTCCATGATTATGAATGAATCGCGGTGTCTATCTGAGACCTTACCTATTCCTCCTCTCATCCAGATTATCAGCATTGTCCATCATCTGCTTCCGCTGATGAACGTATGCCTGAAGCATGGACAACCCCCCAAATTGGTGTTGCTATTAAAAAACGACTTGCCAAGTCGCAAACGTACAGGTTTCTGTCATTATCATTATGTTGGGCGTTGAAGATTGTTGGCGTATGCTTTTTTATTATGATGAATTAATCGCGATGTTCCATTGTTATTCAGTCTGAGCATTCACTCGCAAATAAAAAAGTGTATGTTTTCATTCCCACCATTCGCGATTTCATTCATCCATCCGTGTTTGGCGTTTAGGTTTGTTGGCGTATACTTTTCCAAGATTATAAATGAATCGCGCTGTCTATCTGGGACCTTACCTATTCCTCCCCACATCCAGATTATCAGCATTGTTCATCATCTGCTTCCACTGATAAACGTATGCCTGAAGCATGGACGACTCCCCAAATTGGTGTTGCTATTGAAAAACGACTTGTCGAGTCGCAAACGTACATGTTTCTGTTATTACCCTTACCATTCGCGATTCAATTCATCCATCCGTGTTGGGCGTTGAAGATTGTTGGCGTATTATTTTTTATTATTATGAATTAATCGCGGTGCTCCATTGTTAATTAGTCTGAGCATTCACCCGCAAATAAAAAAGTGTATGTTTTTATCCCCACCATTCGCGATTTCATTCATTCATCCGTGTTTGGCGCTTAGGATTGTTGACGTATACTTTCCCATGATTATAAATGAATCGCAGTGTCTATTTGAGACCTTACCTATTCCTCCTCACATCCAGATTATCAGCATTGTCCATCATCTGCTTCCGCTGGTAAACGTATGCCTGAAGCATGGACGACCCTGAGGGCTTGTTGGAGCGGTCTAACGCGGGCCCCAAATTGGGGTTGCTGTTGGATAAAACTTTTCCCAGCCGCTGCTTGACGGCGGGAGACATGGGGATGTATCCTGGATGAGGCTGCGCAGGCCTCGAGGGCTGCATCATGAGGTAGTCGTCTTGAGCGTGGCCGCACTTGTCGCAGAGGGCTTTGACTTTGTCGGCGATGTCCTTGCTGTTTTCGTACATCTGTAGCAAAACGAAATAATGTAATATCTCGAAACGGGTTGATAATCCAGTTGCCAGGTAAGAATTCCAAAAGTTGCGAATCGATCACGAAAAAATCGATAAAAAACACCAAGTCAGATAAAACAGGAAGAAATAATGCGCCGCACGCGGAATTCCTGGTGAATCTAGTGATTTTCTGGTTTTTCACCTTTTTATTACACTACTGGAATAACAACAAAGGAAAAAAACTGGAAATAACCTACCTAGCTTTTACAATAATAAAAGAATATGCCTTGCTTTCATTCTTTCAATCCACACACTTCTATACTTTGACAACAACTTTCACCGTCGATACAAATATAAATAATTTTTGAGTTTTCTCAGCACAACGTTTTTTTTTTTCAAACCAAATTGTCTTTATACTGTAGTTATATATCAATCTCCGTGAAATACATTCGAGAAATATTTTTATTGAAGAATACATGTCAAATTCTATTTATCGGAGGTAGATACATGTGAGCTGATGTTTAATCGATTGATACATATTTAATTGTATGAAAGTTTTATTGTCGTGGCAAACGATCGGGATTCAAGGGAGTGAAAAAAATCGCGGGACCTTGCTCGAACTATTTTTCTACTTCTGTTGATACGAGATTTTTTGATAAATGACAATAAAATTTTTATACTATTCGAAATATGTTCATCGATTAAAACATTAATCGAATATATGTATTATAGGAAGATCAATACACAACTACACTATAAAAACGATTCGGTTTCGAAAAGAAAAGACTTCAATGTTAATGTGTTTAGACAACTCGAAAATTATCTGACGGTAGTGACGGTTGTTGGCGAAGTATAGATGTCAGTTGATTATATATATTTGGAAAAGCTGAGTAGCTTTTTTATCAACAGTAAAAACAGAAGAGCTTGTTGGTTTTTCGAGAGAAATTACTGATGGGAAATTTTTGGGTTAGTAAGGAAATGTCAATATCACGATGTTCTGAATATTTGAAATAATTCTATTACTTCATTGTTCACGAAATTGTTATGCCGAGTCGTCAGCCAACACATTTGAATTAACAATGAAAGACAGAATTATGAAAAGATATTTAGAACAGAGTGGTAGTTTGCTAGACTTTTTCACGTTCACGAAGCTTGAAAAGCATTTATTAATAATGAGTGAATCATTCTGACGAGTACATCCATAATTATTATATACCAAACCGACAGACTATGCCTCGCTATCTATGGTTCCATTCAGACTTCAATTTGCTATCCATGGTTATATTGAGAACATGAACGCTGTCAGACCAATGGATTCAAGGGTGTCTCTCAGAAATGGATAGAGTCCTATCTGTCAAGTAGAAGCCATATCGTGAAACGACAAGATACTCCGATGAGTCGACTGTAGGATGTGGTGTTCCTCAGGGGTCTATACTTGGACCAACGCTTTTTTTACTCTACATGAATGACTTGGCCAGAGCAAACATACCAGTAAAAATAACGCTGTTAGCGGATGATACAAGTACTTTCCGACATAATGAGAATGCCGAAACACTTCTTGATATGATCAAGATGGACATGTCTGAGGTTGAAAGATGGTGTAATTCAAATTGGTTGGTGATGAATTTGACAAAAACTAATATAATGTCATTTAAAGGTCAATTAGACGAGCTAGTCATGGGTGATGATAGGAAACACCAATAATACAAAATTTCTAGGCATTCAAATAGATTTCAGATTGAGATTTGATAAGCATGTTAAAATTTTGAACAAAAAATTGTCTTCTAGATATTATTGGATATTATGCGGTGAGAGTCACATCAAATGAACTAGGACTTTTTTCTTATAAGTTTGTTTATCACTCTTAAGTTGAATCTCATTCAAGGTATGGAATTCCATTTTGGGCGGTGTGTAATGATCATCTCAATTACTCAGTTTTTATACTGCAAAAACGCGCAGTAAAATGTACGTGCAAAGCAAATATTCATGGAACCTGCATACCCCTTTACATTGAACACAAAATTTCAACAGTTTATGCGATCTTATGCGAGTTTTTCAATGATACCTTTCAACCATGAAATCCTTTTTCCTGTGACGGGAAAAAAGTTTGGCAATTCATCTCTGTTGGCAGGTTAATAAATGTCACTCCTCATAAATAACTTTTTTCCCGTGGGAAAAATAGTGAGTACTTCTCTCCTGGATATATATCACATATATATACACTGTTGATGGCTTTTGTTGTGCTATAGTTTCGACAAATGAGTCAATAATAATGTCTCCGAGAAACAACTGCAAGTCCTCTCATCTTCCATTCGACTTCGCGGTTACTTATATTACTAGACAACCACTGAAATCGCAATTTTTTAAATCAAATCACAGAATTAGACTGACAGAAGTGACATCAGATATTTGATTACTTCAAAAGAATGATAAAGATGCCTACACCGCAGGTGTCCCTACTGTTAAAAACTTAAAATTTCACGTCGATAATTTTCAGATTTCAAAATAATGTAATATCTTTTCAAAATTGATTCGTCCTTTCTTCTGTCACAGAAAAAAATATATACACGGGAAAAATATTAGATTTTAGCTCAAAACCTGGAGCTGAAATCTACTACATTTTTTCCTTGTATAATAAATAACTATTTTGAAAGGAATATTTCAATATCTAGTAATGTGTCTTTTATGAACTAGCTTCTGAGAGTGTCTGAATTTCAAATAGATTTCAAAATGTTATGGTGTTGAAATAGCGATTTCCTCTAGTTCTGGTTCAGATTTAAATTTTTTTCAAGGTTATTATTTTCACTTACTTTGTCAATGAGATTTTACATCTTTAGATAATAAAGCATATTCTCTTTCTCTCTCTCAATCATAATTGAAAGACAGCTCATGTTTTAGCGATGAGCACACATTGTCTCTGGCTTGTGATTGGTCAGAATATTAATAGGAATAGTCACGAAAACACAATCTCTTTTGATATTGATACTGATAATTCCATTCGATTTCAGATTGTAATTGGCCCGATTATGTGAGAATTTCGAGATGAAAAAATATAACTCTCACCGTGAGCGTTTGAGCAAATTCCATGTTTTCGTAGTTCGTCGAAGTCGGCGCGGCCATGACCGCCGGCGGCCCCACGTTGGCGTAGTTGTTCTGCGCCGCCTGCCTGTCGTGCGCCTTCTTGGCGTAGTCCACGGCGGCGTAGATGGCGTGTGCGTCCTCAGGCACGCTCCAGCAGGACAGCAGGCGCTGGCAAACACAGGGCCGGTCGGGTTCTGGCTGGCGCACGCGCAGCACGCAGCCGCACGGCTTCTGGATGGTGTCGAAAGCCGCGCTGTGGATGCACTCTTTCAGCTTCCTAGGGGTGTCGTACAGCTCTTCTAGTTTTGGCTCCTGCAACGGGAATCAGTTAATGAAGATGAGCGACCTGCAGTCGAATCTGAAATTCTAACTGTTCCTAGTATTCACATTTCCAGCCTGTTCTCTTACAGAAAGAAACATGAATATCTGTTAGAAATCAATGCCCAATCAATCATAGGTATCCTACGAGAAACGGAAATTTACTCAGATTAAGGCAACACAATACTAAACTATACGAAAGATCGCCAATTCATATAGGATCTAAGCTCTTCAATTGCCTGCCAGTCGAGTTGAAGACAATTTTCGGCTTGAACTCCTTCAAACGGAAAGTGAAATACTTCTTGTGCACTGAAGAATTCCATTCAGTGGAAGAATTTCTCAATCATAGTGAAACTACATTACGCGTGAACCACTGATTTTATACATATGATTATTGTACGATGTTATTTTCTCATGTATGTATATTTATATAACGTCTTCATGTGTGTTAGTATCAATGTTGAAATTTTGTATTTTTGTATTTTTGACACGACCTTTGTCATTGTTATGATCTATTGGTTAAATAAATATTCAATTCTATTCTATCTGATAACTTAACCCATTAGTGCATAACATTCACAGATGAATAAAAAACAGATTTTCCAAAGAAGGTTAATTAATACTGTTCAACCCATTTGTGCATCTGATCCGATAAATCGGATGACCATGTGTTTGCGCATTAGGCGAATGTAAACATAATTTCGAGAATTGTTCGTGCTGTAAACCATAGCAACTACTTTATTTCGTGTTGATATACACAAAAGAACACTAGATTTGCTTTGAAATATCTGAAAGCGATTTTTGTATGGATTATGGACCTGACATTGTATAATCAGAGTGGAGGCGGGTAAGTCGGATTATAATCACTTATTTTCAAACGGAAAGAAAATATTCTATGGCATGAAAACACATCGAAAATATATTACTGAATGAATTCCCGTGTGGATTCAACATAATTTAGTTTTAGTAGTGAAATTATAGTCACTTATTTTGGGAATCCGATATATCGGATTCTATGCAAAAATTGGTCTCTTGAAGATAGTTCGCTGGTAAACTGTTATTATGTCTTCATAAGCAGATTCATAGTTTATGTTGTTATTTCTTTCTGTTTTATATTGTCGCTCGCGCAGCTCTTGGTTGAACTCGGACATCATGATGTGGAACTGCCAATTGACATTTATATTGAACCTCCTAATGAGGGAGACATCACAGAGCGCTTTTGTTATCTGGATATGCAAAATATAATAATGTAATGATGCACTTGTCAGGTCGCAAGGACATACCAAAAATACTTCAGGACATCAGTATCAGACGATAGATTTTACCAAATATTGAGACACATCCATCTAAATGATTATTGAATTGATCCAGAGGACCGGCTGTACAAACTGCGGCCCTTGATTACCGAACTCGATGAAAATTTCAAATATCATGGTGGTCTTGAAGTAAATCTTTCAGTAGATGAGTCCATGATTCCCTACTATACTCCGCATTACGCAAAACATAACATCAGGAGGAAACCTATATGCGCTTGTGAAAAGGTTAGATCCACTAAATAAATAATGTTCCACACTGCTAATTTCTCGAAGAAACCTTGCCAATTCATTGTTCGAAACATATGGTACACCCTTTAATAAAGAAAAGATAATTCAAAATCCTATAAATGTTAGTGAATATGACGGAATAGATAATTGGCCGAAATACGTACCAACTGAAAGACTGTGCAGGTTTTGTAGTTGAAGAAGCAAATTTGTTTGCACTGAATGTGTAGTGGGAAAACCTACATCCAAAATTGTGTTTTGAAAATCACCATACTTTCTAAGTGTAAGTTCCGTTGGCATTTAATCCGTTATATTGGATCATTTGTATTTTCGCAAAATATATTTTTTTATACCTGTGTTTGTTTTTTGTATTACTTCAAGGTGAGTTCCCAAAGCAGCTTTTTCGCGTTAAGCGTCTTTCAGTCTGATTATTGACGAGTCAATTGCTGCACTATTTTCCATTATTTTCTTCAGTTCCCAATGAATTGAAGTTTGAATTAATAAAATCATGAGAATATATGGAAATATAGGAAAATGACTGCAAGATGAGTAATAATTCAATCGCAAACGATAGTAGCATAGTGAAAATGAGATAATCAGGAATCTACAGTGATTCTGCAATTATGTACTTACCATGAGATTACTCTCAGAAATGAGGGTTAATGGAGTTGCATCAAACATTTCTTCATTTACATGGAGAACCTTTTGTTGGAACGGGTTCATAATGAATAAAAACATTTTCAGAACATAACCTTAGGTAAATGACCTTCTAAATTGATGAGCACAAAGCAGCAACGCCAAAAAGTCGAAATATGTTAACTTCATCGCGTCAAATATTCTTAGAATTAAGCGTTACCAATCAGATTGCATGACGCGCGATGTGCAAAGCAAAAACGCTGCATTAGATACTCACCTTTAAACAGATAGCAAGAAAATAGAAAGTGAGGCCAGGAAACAAAACAAATCAATGTAGAAGAGGTCTCGCAATTGACTTGTGCGTAAGCAGCACTTTGAAATAGGGTAACGTAACTATTATAAGGAATCTAGCGAATGTCATATCACCATCATTCAAGGAGTTTTTTTGATATGAAGTAACACTCATTCATTCGAGTTGAATGATGATACAGGCAATTCCAGTCAGGCCAATTTTTCGCCAAGAAATGTGCGCCGCAAGCGGTTTATTCTTCAATTTCAAGTTCAACTGCTCGGAATGCAATGTTAGAATAATAATCAGGCCTTCTTTTGAAGTTTGTGTTGGATCACAGATTTCTGAAGATAATTTCCCGTGGAAGTCCCTATCTATAGAGTGAAAGGTGGCATTACTCACCAGACAAATGGCTCTCTGTTGTACTATTCAGAAAATCTCTAACATTGCAAATTGTTAGGTCGATATTTCAATTAAACGAGCAAAGTACAACTGAAGTGCAATGCACTTCCACCTCAGCATAATCGGTTATTATAATTATTGGGAAATGAAGTAGATTATATCGTCAACCGTCTTTGAGTCAACATCAAACTCACCACCACCGAAATCAACACTACTTCTCCTCTGGATGGAATCTAAGAGGATCATCGTATGATCTTCATTTCATTTGTTATATATCCCAATTAAACACCTTGAGAAGTAACCTACTTTTAATAACTACCTGGTCATTCATTGTACAATGACATTATTCGATTGCATAGCAGCTTCGTGTTCAGTTGGCTGCATTAATATTCACAAAGATCTCCTCATAGACATGCTACTGGGTAAATTGCACATATGTGTATGGGTTCGTCGAATTCACCGATTACTGCTTATTTTTCTTGAAAGTGATTTGCACCTCACTGACGAGACTGCAGAGTAAGAATCAATTTTCAACATACCTAACCTTCCCAATCAATTTGAGTTCGACTGTGATAAACATCCCATGAACGAACTCTATGACCTGCGTTGTTTTAATTGACATGTTTGATACAACTGTATCTTAATTCATTATGTTGAAAGGTCGATGTTGGGGGGTCGAAGACCAATCACTATATGCTCGGACAGCAAAGCTGTAATACTAGCTTTGTGATCAATTTGGTGTCCGAGTGCAGAAAAGATAAATCCTGTCAAAATCGAGAAGTCAGCCTCATGTCGGTCCCGGAACATTCGGGGATACCCGGAAACGAGGAGGTAGACAGACTACCAAACATCCTGGCATCCTCCATAGAGGAACAGCTGCAAAAGCAATTTCTCAAAATATGGCAGGACACACCAGGAATGTGACAATAGAAGCTTCACATGAATAAGAAGGCTCACAAGAGAGGTCTTATAAATTCATAGGCAAAACCTTGAAATGGTAACGGGGCTCCTAACGGGGCACAACCACCTCAATAAGCACCTAGAGCTTATTGGGATCAGATATGATGCCTGGAAGATGACGAAACGTCATCGCATGTGCTCATGGAGTGCCCAACACTGATATATCAGAGGATGACTGTCCTTGGCAACAAACTTTTGATTCAGAGGACGTGAAAGAGGTTCAGCAGATGAAGCTGGTGAACTCATCCAAGGAATGTCGGAAAATGTAGACGCACAATGGGCCCGAATAAGGACGCCTACGTGCAGGGGTGTTCATTCGCCCGAAAGTGCTTGGAAGAAGAAGAAGAAGAAGGAGAAGAAGAAGAATGTTGAAGTATCCATTATTCATTATATTAATGTTACACGAAGTGAAGTTAGGTGTTGGTAGTGATCGGCACTACTAGGGTCTGCTCGACTAGGAGCTTTGAGTGATATGATCATAGGTTCTTGTTCTGGCTGTTGCTGTTGTCAGTGGTGCAAATCGTTGTGGGACATAACAAGTCGTAGTGTCGGGTCCAGACCAGGATTAGGTGTTGGTTTCACCTCAGTGGTAGATATCAGGAATATAGTCCGGAAATACCCGCAAGAGGGTATGAAATTTCGTCCAGACATACCTTCAAACTGCATTGGTAATTATGGTAAGGTGCCAATTGACCTAATTCAACATATCAGTGGTTATTGATGCGATCCTCTGCCGAACGACTATAGTACTAAATGCTGCACGAAATGTTGATATTCTCTCTGGAAGTGGTTTCGATGAAAGGCAGGCTATTTTTAAATTGTCATTCTTTCTCTCTGTCCCCTCTCTCTCTCTTATCTTTCTCCCTCTATCCTTCCTCTCCCTCTTTTTCTTTATTCTTCAAACCGAAACAATTCGAAAAAAAATATTGTATGCAAATCGAATCGAGAAAATGGAATAACAATGGTGCCAGTGGGTACTCACCACAGAGTAGGGTATCTTAGGAACGTCGTAATTATCGTAAGCGGGCGTTGGAAGTGGCAGCGGCTTCTTGGGCGTGGGCGCGCCCTGGGGCGGTTTGGGCGGCCGGGCGGGCGGCTTGATAACGGCTTGGCTCCAACCGCTGCTGTCCGAGCTGCTGCTGACAGAATGGCGGTCGCAGGTGTGCTCCCAGCAAGGGGTGCCCGCTGTTGCTGTCGAAGACCTGAAATAAGAAGGAATAGTAGTTATATTACATAACTAAGGTAGTGACACCAGTTATTAACACCACCTCAGTCATTGACACCTTTCGCATTACTAAGGCTCCAATAAGAAAACAGTAAAGTCAATACAGATTTCTACCAGTCATGTGGATATGACCAGTTCCATGTGTTCCATGGTTGAGACGTTTTGCATAAAGGTGAGGTTAAGTCAACTTGTTGCTTCGTAGGAGTAGCTGAACCTCAATAAACTGTATTCAATGATGTGTTTTCTGTTCTTCATTAAGTGGAAGTGGTACTTTGAAAACAGCGAGATCTCAGGGGCAACGGGTTAGGCAGAGGTATAAAATTCACTACTGGTGGGTGGAGCCTAAACACAACGCCGATGACGAAAAAAACCATTACTCCTTTGTAAATCCGTTCCTCGGCCGAATTACGAGGGAGAGTCTTAAACTTCAGTACGACACGGCGACGCGGCGTGCTGACATGCCGACTCGGCGTACATTGCGAAGAACGCTCCAATCGTTGGTATGTCGACTAGCCTTGCTAGTCGTTATAAGCTTGATAGAAGTTGTCATCTGGGTAATGGATGCGTTCATTTAAATCCAGCAAGGTGAATTCATTCCGGATTGCAAATAGCGAGGATCTGATGCCAAAAACTACCTCAATGTAAACAGTGATATTGATTCACAATATTCTTTCTGAAATCTGAATCAATTTCGAAATGAACTCAGAATAGATGAATGATGAACCATATTTTGCCCTGATCAGTTATTGACACCCAATATCAATTACAGATTGCTTCCATTCCATAATTTTCTTCGAGGCATATAGTGTGTCAAAAACTGATTCATGTAAGTGTCAATAAATGCTACATATGCAAGCATTATGCAAGGTATAGCTGCTGGAATATAATCTTGTATAGCATTGTTGAGATTCCAACAGCTAATAATTAGTACTGCTATTGATTTGTTATTGTAATAATTTCGAGATGAATATGTTCAATAATCCATTTTCCGATCAAATTCGTTATATACAGCCGATTTGTGAATGTCTACTGCCTGTCTTTATAGAACTCGATTCCATAACTGAAGAGATCGATAATGCATACAATTGGTACCAATTGTCAACGAGACATTACTGTTTCGGCCCACAAGCTCTCATCAGTCGTCCTCGGCCTGTTGGCCTGCTGGTAACTAGGTCAACTCGAATATCGAACACGTTGCAAGTTGTAGTAAACATGCAAAAAATCAATTCACTCAAATGATTACCCAAAAAAAGAATGGTATGAATACTATAAATCTAGCCTTCCTAATCCGACATAAAAATAAAGCACAGGATTTTTCAGAATTCAACCATCAGTTTGGCAAATAAAACTGGAAGACCATCACTTTGCTAGTTAGGAGAAGTCAGACAGGAGACTCAGGAGAGCTTTCTTCTGAGAGCCAAGTAGGACAAAGTTCTGGTTAAGAAAGGCCAGAAAGCAGTTATTACATGAATAACGACGAAAACCCATTTTTATTATTTTTGGAACGTCTGTGTCGAAAATACACGTGTGTCAATAGCAGGAGCAGAACTATGTCAATAGCTGATGCGGCATTGATTCTTCAATGTCGATGACTGATTCATTTGCTCAACCCAGTTGATTTTCAGTAGTATCAAACAGATATATTCACGAAAGCAATAAGCAACGAGAAAAAATATGCTCTGAAGTCGTTTCAATTGAAATATCTAGATTTTTCAATGTCCAATAGAAATTTGACACATGACCTTTACCGTCTTAAGGTGTCAATAGCTGGTGCCATTACCTTAGTGTGAAGAGTGACATATTTCCAGTCTGATCTCTGGAAAGTTATCACCAAATTTGTACTGCAACATGGTTGTTTGAAACACTTGCAGGTCACTGATGATGATCAAAAACATCTCAAAACGTGACTTACAGCAACAGAACATGCCATGCCAAAAATTATGAAAATCGATCTCAGCCTACTATTTTCATGAGCAAAATTATTTTCTTCCAAAAAAACTTGAAAGCCTTGTATCAACTCAACGAGACGATTTTGGATATAGGTAAGTTGGCCTAAATCAGCTTGATTTTATCCCTGGAGTCCACAGCCGAGCCATGTCCCAACCTTTTACAGACACCCTGTATATAACGTAAGTGGGTGGAGTGTGTCTATCCTTGCGCGGTGGCGTTCGGCGTTGGTGTTCATTTCGCTGACGTTGAACACCTCGAAGGGCATAAATGCTGAGATGCGTTTATGTTGGGTCAGATTCGCACCAGATACCGATCAAGAGGCTATCTGAGACAGCCCTGTACTGATGAAAGCAACACTTGCGATTCTATCCGAAAGTAGTTGTTTTTCTCTCGTTATCTACCATTTTCGTTCATTTAATGAACTATTGTGGTTATGACTTCGAGTATCTCTCTCTTTGTGTATAATTATTCTATTATCTTACCTGGACATGGCTCCCAGCTTGCTGATGCAGCTCATGCAGCGCTCGATGGGTGGCGCAGCCCAGCCGTCGTGCGACACGCTGTCGCCGCAGTCGTAGTTGCTGTCCATATCCGTGTAGGGCGAGTCGGCCCTGGAAATGATGGAGCCTTCGCTCAAGTCCAAGGTCACGCCGCCTGGCCTCATAGGAGGACGGCGGGGACTGTCCATCACTGAAATGATTATGTTGATGAGGACAGAGTTCATTCACCACCACCGTGCAATAAAAACAACGGTAAAAGTGGAAACTAGATTATTACAAGGAAGCACAAATACCATTTAAAATCCTCAAATAGATAGCAGATTATGAATATCAGAATTCGAGCCAGAAACTCATAATATGGTTGAACCTTGAACGTGGAAGCATGGACTGGAAAATATAAACTATGAGACGGCTCACTCGTATCCTTGCGCGCCCACCACTGGGTTCTGTTGGTAAAAGCTTACTGGGGTCTTTAAAATCGCATGCTTCCCAGGCAACCAGATGACGTTTCATTGACATCTTTTTTCGTCAGTTGAATGACCAAGGTGACATCAGGAGTTGACGCCGTATGACGTGATAAATGACGTGAATAAGTCACAGTTAAATGACGTCTCACGTTTATTGACGTTTCACGTTTATTGACGTCTCACGTTTATTGACGTCATTCACTCACCAAACTGTGACGTCGGGCTGACGTCGAAACGACATGAAAATGACGTTCAAATAATAATAATATAATAATAAACGTTTTCATTACTTCTGAATAGCAAATAATATATAAACTTTGGGTGGATAATAATTCAGCAGCGCTATCCGTCAGTACACATCTTCATCAGAATGAAATCAGTTACTCGTATTCGTATAAAAAATAATGTAGTTTGTGTCGGTGAGATGTAAGCATACCAGAAATAGTTTTCACCCAACAAAAATCTAAATAGCAAATTATTGAAAAAATTTAGATGTCATAGATACGTCACTGCAACGTCATTGAAGTGACGTTTTCGATAAAGATTCACCTATATCATCATTTGTATATATACAAATATAACTTGATTGATTTCCAAGATATACAGGGTGTCAAAGTTTGAAAAAAGTGTTCTCTTACTTTTTGGGTGTATATAATTCCAATAAAACTCGCATGTTGATTTGTTTCAATGAGTTATACTTCTATCAATGTTAGGAACATATATATTAAATTACCAATACCTACAATATTCTATGTTTGTGTGTCAAATAATTGGAAAAACGATCTCACTCAACCCTTCTAAGTGACGTGATTCTCACGTCATGAAAAGTACGTCATAGTGACGTCATAAATTGGTGTGTTACGTCTCTGATGTAAAATCACCAATTAGGGACGTCACAGTGACGTGATCATTTGTCATATGGTTGTCTGGGTCATTACCTATTAACCGATCGCAACTGTTCAGCGTTGCAATGATTTATGGAAGAGCAGAAAATGAAACATTGGGTGCTACCGACAAACGAACCCCAGTAAGTGAACCATCTTCTAAAATTCATTAATCTTTGACTCAAGGCAGGGTTCCGCCGATTTCATAGGAACTGTTCGTGTCTATCACTCTCAGATACGCTACTGACCAGTGGAATGTGCTTATGACACTGACCGGCTATCACAGACATGTGCAAATGCTGATTCGTAAGTGCTCGACGATTATTCGAGCTGCGGATGAGTATGTCCCTTGTCAGTTTATATTTGTCGAGATATTCGTAATTGTGTTCACGTTCATTGAATTGTGACCATAATCTAACAGGAACAGCATTGCTAAGAGATTGAAAGTTGATCAGATTAGACGAAAGTTACGCACAACCGCTGCTTCCAAGGAGAAGTTTATTTAGATTATCTCTTTTCTTTGGATATATTTGCTCTTCTATGCGTTTTTCGAATACGGTATGGATTGTAGAGATACATGCCAGAACTAATATACTCGTGATCAAACTTCATTTCTTGAACGCACTCTATACCATATCTTTCAATAATGGACTTGAAGACGTGGGATGACCGAAAGTGCACATACGATGTGTTGATGAAATTCACTGATTGAATCAACAAAATATATGGTTTTATCAAAAACAAATTATGTTGATCCAAAATAATGTCGATGTTGATTCAATTATAAACATTTTGTTGATTTGATCAAATAATGATCATTTTGATGGAAATATATCTTTGTAACAACATACAAGTTTTCTTATTCCAATGTAGCAATGAACTTGTTTCGAACGGATCATTTGCTTGAATAGAGCAACGAAATATGAAATATCAATGAAATATTTTGTTCATTCTACATCAACTTAAATTTTCGCCTCTAGATGGCGATCATTTCGCCTCGTCTATGCCTGCCTCGAATTCATTATATACGGGAAGCCTGATTGTTCGTGTTCGAAATATCGACTAGATAAATCGAACTTTGGATGATTAGCAATCCTAAATAGTTCTCCATCAGCTGAAGAGAAGTGAAGACTGATGATCTATGCTAGGAGTCGACTTGTTTCCTAGTTTTGTTTATTCTCTTGATGTGAAATTTCAGAAAATTCCCGAATATTGAATTTGGTTCAACAAAACAATTTGTCGAATGGATATATAGTTTCTCTTGAATCAACAGAATATTTCATTGAATCAACCAAATATTTTATTGAATCAAACAAATATTTCATTGAATCAACCAAATATTTCTTTGAAATAACCAAATATTTCGTTGAATCAGCTGAATAATTGATTGAAGCAATATATTATTATTTTGAATCAAACAAAATGATTGTTTAAGCCAATTCGATATCTTTTCAAAACCATTCATGGATGTGCTTGATTGAAGAAGATCCAGAGTTCATGCAAGACATATTTACTTGATTCAAACTTCAAATTCGCTCTGATATAGATTTACTCATTTCAAGATTATATTTTGTCGTGCATATATGACACTTTTATTTGCTCCATTCAATTATATTTTGATTGATTCAACAATTCTTTTTCTCTTTCGTGAAAGATCAGTCTGAAGGATCTGTTAAATAGAAAGAAAAATGGAAGGATGAAAGAATCAGCTATTGGTCCATGAGTGTAGTGTGATTGAAGTAGTATAATTAATATTTGATTGATCACTCATTGATAATCCTTTCTTTTAACACATCAAGGAATCAACTCTCCTACTATTCAATCAGCTAAGCCATGCGTACCCACGGATATACACAAATTGGATACTTATTTGAATCGTGTCAAATCCGTCATGCGATCGGCTAAATCGGCATATGCAATATTGATGAGTTGACCTCTTCTCGTATGAGTGGAAACACTTATTCAAAGATACAGAAGAGTAGGAAAAAACGAAAAAAAAATACTAGAAAAATTGTATATACCTCTGGGCAACAGAGTGATATGTTCTGAGTTAATGTATGGTCAGAAAATCATGTATTTCATCAACAACAAAATCTCGCTGTTTGAGTGGATATCTCGCTCGTTTTTGACAACATAGCTCGCTCGAAAAACATATGTCTGTGGCAATATCGTTCCTCATTGACATCAGTATTCTTGAATTGAATGAATATTCTGTTCGAGAATAGGAGAACTCTCTAACGGGCGCGCTGTCGTAAAATCTACGACAAACACGCCTCATCAACTTTCCCTATATAGATCTATCAGTCGCAAGCATTATGCTCCAAGCTACTCCAGCTTCAGTAACAGTATGTATCTCTTCCACAGATGTATCTCCTGATATCTCCTTCATTTTTTCATGTCATATTGTTATATGCTCTCTCATACCTCCACAGGAATTCAACAGAGTATATGTGAAGAAAACGCCATCAAAATAATGAAAATCAGATTTTGTAAAATCAACGATGAGTGCCTGTTTATGGAAATATTCCTAGCACGCCCCACTGAAAGGTTCCAGGCAACTAGATGACGAATGATCACGTCACTTATTATTCACAATGCATAAAAATACGTTACTCAACAAAGTGAAGCTAAATTTGCCAACATCATTCTCATTGCTATCAAACTATTTTTGGTATGCCTACATCTCGCCGACACAAACTGCATAAGTTTTTATACAAATATCAGTAACTGATTTCATTCTGATGGAGATGCGTACTGAGAAGTAGCGCTGCTAAATAGACGATTGAATGGACATGCCACCGGAGGGACCACCAAGCAGACTCAACAATGCACAATCAATATTATATATCATCAGAGGTCACACCATGTTCGAGGAAACTTTTTTTCATCACCAAATTTGAACGTCATTTCGACGTCACAGATTGGTGAGTGATGACGTCAATAAACGTGAGTAATATGACGTCATTCACTCAGATTCATAGATTGGTGAGTGAATGACGTCAATAAACGTGATTAATATGACGTCATTGGGCTGTGACTCATTCACGTCATTCATCACGTCATACGACGTCAACTCCTGACGTCATTTTGATAATTTGGTTCAAGTTTCGTTTAGCTGAAATCAGTTATGGAAAATTTGTTGCTATGGTGACCGTTGCCATGGTTACGAGTTGACAGAAAACAAAATCTGGTGGTGAGGAAATGCGTGGTTGCCAAGTTGTATCGGGTTTCGTATAGCTGAAATCAGTTGTGGAAAAAATAATGCCATGGCAACCGTGATGAAAGGTACATGAATTGGAAATAGCAAATTTTCTTCTCAGAAAGAATCCAAGTAAGTATTTCGTATCCCAATACACATTTCTTATTAAGTAGTTGATATTCATGGGTCATTTGATTCTTCTAACTTGACCTTATCTGACCCAAAATCACCATTTTTCAAAACACTATCTAACTCAGCCAAAACAAAGCCTCCACTGTCCTTTTTCAGAGAGAAAGGAAAATATTCCTCCTGCATAAACACTACTTTTTTTTATCATCTAAACTTACTCGACCTGAATGAACCTCCTTCCTAAGAAGACAGTAGGTACTTTTTTCAGGGAGAAAGGAAAATATCCCTCCTACATAAACACTACTTTTTTTGAACCATCTAACCTTACTCGACCAAAATGAACCTTCGTCCTAAGAGGACAATAGGTACTTTTTCAGGGAGGAAGGAGAATACCCCTCCTGCATAAAAAACGAAACTGCTTTTTCCAAACAATTCAACCTAACCCGGCTTGAATGAACCTTCTTAGAAGGAATATATTTTTCAACATCGATCAGATTTGGTAGCAAGACATCGTTCGTGTGTGTTTGAAGACTGTGGCTGAATCAATATGTGCGCGTGAAGAAAGGTATGGGTGAATCGAAATAAAGGAAAATGGAACGAGATGTTTCCATCTGTATTAGACAACCAGTACCTATGTCTCTTCTCCTATATCCTGCACGATACCTCGTGATGAATATTCCAAAATGGCTCTGTTTCTTTTTGATTTTGTCGAATAGCTTGGCACGCGAAGGATGGTTGCATAGAGAGTGTTTTTGAAATGAATGACTGAAGCAATATTCCTCCGATACAACTTGGCAACCACGCATTTCCTCACCACGGGAACCGGGTTTTGGTTTACTCGTTACCATGTCGATCTTTGTCATGGCAATAGTTTTTCCATAACTGATTTCAACCAAACAAAACCCGATAAAACTTGGCAACCACGCATTTCCTCACCACGTGAATCGGGTTTATATTTACTCTTAACATGACGATCGTTGTCATGGCAACAGTTTTTTCATTACTGCTTTCAGCTGAACGAAACTTGAGCCCAGAACTGGGATACAAACACACACAAAACACCCTCTTACCCGACATATTCCTCGACACCGGCCTCCTCCTACTCGCGTGCAGATTCCCCGTGGCGGCCATCTTCAGCGCGCTCGCGATCTCCTCCCCCTGGTCCGTCAGCACCACGTACAGCCCCTCGCCCCGCCCACACCTGGACCCGCCCTCGAAGCAGAACCGCCCCTCCACCACGCCGTACCGCCTCAAATCGCCGACCAACCAGCGGCCGGCGACGCGCGGAGGCACGCCCGATGTCACGCAGAAGCCGCGCTCTTGGACGTGCAAGCGGGCGGGGCCTGGCGGTAGGCGGGACTTGGGCGGGGCCGAAGAGACGAGGACCAGGTAGTGGGGGCCGTCGTTCAGATGAGCGCTCAGTTTCACCTGGAAAATTGATAATGTTCGTATATTTTCATGGCCTGGCGCTTTTACAACAAAGCGCTATTGAAGTTCATGGAGAGTCAATTGAAACAGATCATGAAAGGAATGTCAAGTCGCGTTATCTTTCAAAGGAACCTACAGTACATATTTTGTTGCAATTTCTTGAATATTTTGGAGCTCACCAATAGCTACTATTATACAGAGTGAGTCATGATCAACCAGCCATAGCCTAATGGTAGATAAAAGAAGTCAAGGTGAGTTGATATACAGGGTGTTTCAGTTTTTTGTAGTAGGACTTTAACTGATTGAAGAAGAAATTTTTTCAAGATGAAAATCTCATACAAACATATATGTGTGAAAGCTTCGTTTCCGATTTACAGGGTGTCAAAGTTACAGATTTTTTTTATGTTTTTTTAATTTTCTTCTACAATTTTGGGAATAATTGATTGAAATTGGGTACACCTAATACACTTCGAAAACTCAATATTTGAGGCTATTGAGCGTTCTTGAATACCTACAGGGTGATAGACTTTCAGGGGTCATACCCAATTCAACCCTCTGCTTCCAATGGGCCGTAGATTCAGATTGTCCTTTCAATTTGGAAACTTTTTGCCCTCATGTACATTTTTCGAAAACTGTATGGATCTCGAGATAAATGCCATAAATAAATTACTTGTAATAAAACCGTTATTTCTCAAACACACTTATTTGACATTTCTCAAACATTTTATTGGAAAATAGAATGACCGAAAGCATCCATACCAAATGAAATACATTTGCAAATTAGATTGAATTTTTTGAACACCATTATAATTGAAACTAGGAAAAACAAAGGAGAAATGTTTTTATTTTAAAAAAACTTCTCTAACTGGATTCCAAATCTTAAATCAGGGACTGTATGATACACGGTCTAGGCGCTATACATCGCTAGACTGTCGCTTCTGACGGTTGAGGTGTTGTGAGTTTTAATAATTTAATCTCGTGTACGGCAGTTCTAATTTAATCAGTACCCTTATAAGTGGTTCGGATTCCACTTTTATTTATCTCGAAATCCATACAGTTTTCGAAGAACATACATGGGGGCAAAAAATTTCCAAATTGCAGAGACAATCTGAATCTATGTGCCATTGAAAGCAGAGGCGGCACGCAAAAAAGTTCTACAGGGTTAAATTGAGTACGACCCCTGAAAGTCTATCACCCTGTAGGTATTCAGGGACGCTCAATAGCCTCAAATATTGAGTTTTTGAAGTGTATTAGGTGTTCCAAATTTCAATCAATTATTCCGGAAATTGTAGGAGAAAATGCAAAAAACATAAAAAAAATCTAAAAGTTTGACACCCTGTGAATCGGGAACGAAGCTCCCACGCATATATGTTTGTATGAGATTTTCATCTTAAAAAAATGTCTTCTTCAAGCTGTTAGAGTCCTGCTACAAAAAACTGAAACACCCTGTATATGTGAAAAATAGTTATTTTTTCTGTGACGGGACGTAAGTTTGGCATTTCATCTCTGTTGACAGGTTATAAAATGTCACTTTTCATAAATTACTTTTTTCCCGTGGAAAAAAAGTGAGTACTTTTTTCCCGGATATATCACATAGATATACACTGTTAATGGCTTTTGTTGTGCTATAGTTAATTAGTCAATAATACTCTCCGAGAAAGAACTGCAAGTCCTTTTATCTTAAATTCGACTTCGCGGTTACGTATATTACTAAACAACCACTAAATTCGCAATTTTTTGAAATCAAATCACAGAATTAGACTGACAGAGATTTGATTACTTCAAAAGAATGATAAACATGCCTACAACGCATGTGTTCCTACTGTTAAAAACTCAAAATTTCACGTCGATAATTTTCATATTTCAAAATAATGTGATATCTTCTCGAAATTGATTCGTCCTTTCTGCTGTCACAGAAAAAATATAGTGTTTTATACACAGGAATAATATCAGATTTTAGCTCACGGTTTTCTGTTTCCCTCCGCTACGCCTCGGGAGACAACACAACCTGGAGCTGAAATCTACTACTTTTTCTCCTCGTATAATAAATATATTTTGCCTGGACAGGAATACAGGGCATTATTTGAATTCGGGGCAGAACTATGATGAACTAACGTCTTGATGTTTTCGCCTTAAATCTACCAGCAATTTACCTCTACTGACACACTACACAATGGCCCACTATGGAAGAAAAATTCCAGAACTGGACCTGAAAAACTCATTTTATTTTTGAATAACAGAATTTCGACTTTCTGAATCGTATTTTTCAAAAACTTTCATTAGAATCTGAAAGATCAGGAAACACACAACAAGTGTAGCTTTTCAATTTGTATACGGCATTTTTCGACCAGATCGTGAAAAAAATATCGTACAAAATACTGATGAACGATTCCATGATTTCCTACTGACTATTGTAGTCACATATCGTTCAACATATTCATTTCAATCAATTTCTTGGATATCGGTGTATTATAAAAGTTGGAAAGAGACTATATCCGATGAAAAATTTCAGGACCGGGCTTACTTTCCTTCAAGATACCTTTCAAAACATGGAAATAAGTAGCTCATTAAAAAAAATCAAATACCTACCTCCTCACTCTATCGAATTTCCTTTCGGGCGCTCCAAGAGATAAAAAAATATTGAGAATGACTGCTTGGGTGGAATACTTTTTCCGAATCAGATTTCGTGCCAACTCATACTACATAGAGAAAATTTTGAGGTAATATTGAACATGATCTCATTGCATATGTGAACTCTCTCAAGCAGCGTGTTTGGTGTTCACATTATACAGAAAAGACTACAAAAGAAGGCTGTGATGGATGTAAAGAAATTTATTGAAATAGGTATGTTCTCTTAACGGGATGGGACACTCCCACATTACTCAACACAAGTGGGAGAATTCCTACCTAGATGAACAATTCTCTAATCGCTGAGTAGGTTGTGGCGGCCCTCATTCTTGGACCCCTAGGTCTGTTTATGTCACAGTATCAGACTATGATCTATGGAGACATATGAAACTATTGGTATATCAGACTGAAGTCAACACCAGAGAGGAACTGAGGAAGAGGATAGGTACAAATTCAGATATGATCAGGAATGATCAAATCTTCCGAAGATATGCAAAAAATGTAAAGAAATTAGGGAGGAGGACATTTCTAGAATCTTGTTGACAAATATCAGTATATACAGATAAATCTTTCTCGAAAATTATAATGATTCGAATTTTTTCCACAAACCAAGTCCGGTCCTGATGTTCTCCAAATTATACCTTTTCTCAGCTCTGCTGCTACATCTATATGCAAGAATACTGATTCGAATACTTTTAGTCGAATGTAGAGAGTAATGGCCCGAACGGAATCGATGAAATATTCGTCTGATTTTTTTGTTTTTTCACCAATTCGGTCGAAGGGAGCTGTACAAAATGAAAGGCTACACTTGTAGTGTTTCTCCTGATCTTTATGATTCTGATTAGAATTTTCGAAAAATACGAATCAGAAAATCGAAATGTTGACATATTAAAAGAAAAGACGTTTTCCAAGTCCGACTCTGGATTTTTTCTTCTATAGTAGGCCATCTTGTGGTGTATCAGAAGAGGTGGATTGCTGGTGAATTTCAGGCAAAAACCCTGAAATATCGTTCATCAAAGTTTCACCCCGAATTCAAATAATGCCTGTCACAAATAGGCAAAATATATTTTTTTACATATATATCAACTCACTTCTTTCATCCGCCATTAGGCTATGGCTGGTTAGTCATGACTCACCCTCTATACTTACACCTATTTCCATTCTCTCAGTCTCTTATTATGTATTTTTTATCGTTTCACGTATCAAAAATCTCAACCCGATCGGTCAAGCCGTTTAGTGATTGACGTACCGACAGCAGCGCCACCTATCGCGTCTAATTGTATTTCGAACCATTCAGGAAACCATCGAAATACCCATATAAAATTTCAACGGAATCGATCCAGCCGTTCAGAAGTTATGTGAAAAAGTTGACAACTCGTTGTCCTATTACCCGTTTTTTCGTAGAAATGAAGCATTGTCCCGCGGTCAGGGATTATTTCAGCATCTTTTGGGGAAATGATTTTTCAAATTGGTCCAGTATTCCTGGAGCCTATTCAATGAAATATTAAAGTATTTCCTCTTTATAATATTTGTGTCACCGACATAGCGCTGTTGACGTTTATGCAAAGTCAGTTAAAACAGATCATGAATGGAATGTCGGACCGCGCTCCTGCTCTCTGTCATCTTTCAAAGAGACCGACGGCCCTCGGTAATGTATTGTTTCCCACCTACTTTGGATAGACTTTACTAATGATGAAATATCATAACGATTATTTTTCGACACTATAATATTATCATCGTCTCGTTGCAACGAAAAAGGTTTCCTCGTGCAGTGTCATAGTCACGATGTCTTATACACATATATGAAATCATGAAGGTACTTGCAAGGAAAGATCGGTTATGATCTGCAGAAAGCCCAAAGGAACAACTGGTAACGACCATGGAATAAATTCGATAGATAATTTAGTTCATTAGGTGAAGCAAAACATGCGCCGTATTGTGAGATAAAGCGAAGAGGCAAAGAGAGATCATGCATGCTTCTACTTGCAATGGACACTACACTGTCTTACCACTAACCAAACCGATTTTTCAAACACCTTCACATGTGTTTCGCTAACTAACTGCTAACTTCAGGAGAAGATTGAAACTTTTGATCTTCTTTGTGTCAAATGAATGTTCGATTTTATTTACTACTAGCTGTCTGGTCTGGCTTCTACAGTACATTTTCTGCTGCTATTTTTCCAATTTTTGTGTGCTAACCCATAGCTCCTATCATTATAATAACACCTATTCTCAATGTCTCAGTATCTCATGTATTTTTCTGTTGTTTCACGTATCAAAATCTCAACCCAATCGGTCAAGCCCTTCAGTGATTGAGGTACCGACAGCAGCGCCACCTATCGCATCCAATTATATTTTGAATCATACAGTGTACCATCGAGATACACATTCAAAATTTCAACAAAAACGATTCAGCTGTTTAAAAGTTATGTGTAGGAGATACGTACGGAAGGATGAATCTTACTATTCGTTGTCCTATTACCCGTTTTTCCGTAGGAATGAGGCATTTTCCCGAGATTAGGGATGATTTCGGCATCTAATGGTAAATAACTTTTTGAAATGGATCCAGTAGTTTCTGAGCCTATTCAATACAAATAAACAAATAATAATCAATTATTTCCTCTTTATTGTAAATCGCCAACGATGCAGTGACGGTTAGTACTACTGGTAAAAACCAAAAATTAACGAAAAGAGGAAACAATCTCCAACTGTGGAATTCTGGTTCAGTAAACAACGATAGAATATTCTTGATCCCGAAGTCCAGGAGAAAAATCCATTCGGATTTCCAGGCGAGAAGTGCTAGAAGGGGTCCACCATCAGCCGAAATAGTCCTCAAGATAGACCCATGTAACAACCGTGGCCCAAGCAAGAAAATAAACTATGTCTATGGACACATTCAGCGTGAACATTCAGAGATATTGGTTCTGCCTGAGACACAGGTGAATTCATCCACAAATAGGACCTATATACTCAGTCCTGGGTACAAACTCCACACCTGATTTAGGTTCGAGGACGGTCTCTGCCTTTATTCTGAAACGAATCTCTTATATCATCGAGGAGAAACTTCGGGACCAGATAAGTTTGATGTTATGTGGTTTAAACTCGATAGCCAGAAACAGACCAGATATCATTGTTGTCATCACTAATGAATGATCCATCTTTTGAAGAGCTCTTCGAGTTCTTGTCCTTGAAGCTAGTGACCTAATTCAGCAGAAATCATCATCATAGGCGATTTCAATGTAAACAACACTGCTTGGCTCGTACACTTCAACAAAACTTATGAAGCTGGGCGACGAGCCGAAGCTTTCGCCATTAATCACGGCTTAGAGCAGCTTATCAAGAAACCTACGCAAATTCCTGATATCAACAATCATTCAGGCAACACATTCGACTTATTCCTCACTAATAACTCAGCACCTTACACCATAAATATACGACCATCACTCGGGAATTCTGACCACACACTCATCTCCACAACCTGCTCAATCTTCATTTTTTATGTTCTGGTCCTCACGGAAAGGGATATCCTGTAATGTTTAGAGAACATCGTGAGAAACAAAAGAAAATAATGTAGGAATTGGTGTTCTACTTAAATTTCTGTTCGTTGGATAAACGGGTCTTTGGAAAGACCACGAAGGGGTGCGAAGCCTCAACTTGACGGGTTCATCTCGCGGGGACTGCCAAGGGAGGAACACTTGTTGATATTTCAGAAGAGCATTGTCCATGAAAATATCCATGATATCGAACCAGATCGCCAACTTTTCTACGGTGTTCCAGAGAAGTGAGTGAGTTTGTGAGCGAGGCATCAGCCACTAGACGAATTGCCCTTTCTTGGGCAGAATCCAACAGTTTCAGGGTATGTTTGGGTGCTGCACTCCAAATATGGGGAGAGTATTCCAGGACAAGCCGAAAAGGTTATTGCTGATAGTGATACCAAGCATCGAAATGGATATCTAAATAGTGTTGGTGCTAGAATTGATCCTTGCGGAATGCCAGTATTTATGATAGTCAGAGTCAGTTGAAACTCCGTCGACCACTACATGGAGAGACCTGTTTGAGAGAAAACCAGCTAGCAGAGAACATAGCTGGGGAGGCAAGCCATAAGATGGAAGCTTGGCGAGGAGTCCGTGGAGCCAGACATGATCGAATGCCTTGGAGATATCAAGTGCCACGGCTGAGGTTTCACCATATTTTACAATAGATTGCCATATATGTGGGACGTAAGCACCCCCACGTCCTGTATGGCATTATAACTCAGGAGACTGGGACGGTCTCCGCATGACATTTTCTGAAGTTTCTCAGCATAGAATATGATTTGATTTTGAGGATATTCCACCCCAGCAAACATGTATCGCGCGGGCCTTTAGACGCCCTCCAAAAACTGCCGACAGTCAACACCAGCGGGCCACAATCATGATACATCGCCGGCCCGGCTAGCCCGTGTCGCACCGGCCGCTAGTAGGCCGCCCGACTATCTACCGACACTATTCGGTTAGAAATAAAAAAAAGATATAGTCGGGAGTCGGACTCGAACTTGCGATCGAACGGATATCCAATCAACTGTCAGACGCTTATACCACTAGGCTACTGCGAAACTTGAAAGATACTATTACGAATCCATCAGTCAACAGAATTGAAATAGTACAATACTTCAATTATATTTGATATTTGATCATATACGATATACCTATCATAACTTGTTGATTCGACGACGTAGAATAGGTTTAGTCTGATAATGTTCTAGCCACATTACTTTTCCAGTGTTTGATCTATTACTGTGAATCAAATATTTTTCGAATATAGGTAAAGAGCTGAACTTCGCATTGGAGCATCATTGTTATAATATAGGGTAATGAACAAATATTTAGCTCAAAATCATTACCACAAAAATGGATTGGTAGACAATAACGAGTTTAATTATTGTTATATAACATATATCATTATTCTTGATGTCGGACGATAGTTTGCTGGGATCAATCATAAAACTCACCAACTTTTTCTAAATAATATTAATATTATCACGCCGTTTAACAAATACCTGAAGACATGTGACAGACAACTGACGCGATCTACGGACACAGAACTAAAACACGAAAATAAATTAGCAGTACTACCAATGCTCAAAAACTCAGTGATGCCAACATTGCGTTTGGTTCAGTTACCACTGATGACCTGTAAACAACATACATACTGCGTCAAAGCGACATCGGGACGATTGTCGGGAATTTTAAACGGGCAATTTCTGGCTGAATAACAAACATCCATTATAAACATGCGTACGTTCAGCCATGGCGGCAAAACCGATGTCGATTCAACATTTTAACGACATAGGTGTGCCGCTGCCGACAACTAACCGCAATTACCAGCAATCGGCCGCCTATTTACCGCTCAATCATGTTTGCTGGGACAGTGTGCTGCGGAAATATCCGAGACCATCACACTTGGAATGGACACATACATACCTCATTCTTTGAATAGACCATCAGCTTCGAAACCTTGGTTCAACAGGAACTGTTTTGCAGCTGTTGCTTTCAGGATCCCTTGATGCAAACTGACGTATTTGTCATCTGGTACGAACAGCTCATAGCTCCTTTCTCTTTTAATCAACTAGTGACTTTGGTTTCGTGTATTGGCGTCCCTGGCATGACATTGATGTCACGTCACAGTCATTGGCATTGAAAGAGATCTTACATAGTTTCAATTTCATACTTCATCTTGATACGACATTATTCAATTTTGTTTTGAAAGGATGTTAGAATGTGCTGCGTTAGGCTGTATCAATCAGTTGGATGACAAATTTGGATTTGTCAGCTTTCCATCAAATGCAAATAAACTTAGAACATGGAAAGTGAAGTGACTGGATGGGCAAAATTGGTAAATACATCAGCAAAATCTACATACAATTATTCACCATTTCTCAACCATAAGGCTTAGTTCGAAATCAAAATTAATTTATTGATAGGTACTGCCTAAAAGCAGTTCCATTTGGTGAAACTTATTAAAATTTCAGAAAAATTTGCTCACTGCCTTACAAAGATTATGCTGGAGTTAAAAAATCAAGAATTCGAAGATTATCATCATCATTTTGATATGATATGAAAAGTTGAATGAGAAATTACTTGTAGAAATTACGTATGATACGCCAATGTCCTCAATATAACTAAAAACACAACAATTGTCAGAAATCTTGTGTTTATCCCCAGAAATTGATAAAGATGGAACCATATAACTGTTTCACAAACACTTTAGAGTGAGAGGAGACGAGGATCTGTCCGTACCCTGTTAAGATGACAAATACGTCAATTCACATCAAGGGACCCTAGTTGCCTTTAAACAAACAGCCTACCATCGTTGGCTCAAGGACGCAAACCTCGTGACTAGAGTAGCATGATTCCATTGTTAGGGCAAAAAATAACTGCAGCCAAACAATACACGCATCGAATGATCCAATCATACAATGCCAAAATAAGATGATAACTCATAGATTGTCCCAATGACTCCCGTTCTTTTTCGTCCCTCGCTAGAGGAGTCGAAACGATTTTTACTAATAGTTCATACCCACCACTCTCCAAAGACGACGCAATATTAGCAACAACAACAACGCAAGAGAAAGCGAACATTTTTGCAGAGATGTTTGCAGCAATCTCCACCTTGGATTCTTGAAGAAGGGTGCCGCCAGACATTCCACCCGTTGAAAGTCGAATGCCCAAAATTGTCAATGCACTACCAGACGCATTCTGCTCGGTCTCAGAAAGTTCAATGGTCCTGATGACGTATATACCTACTATCAAATGACACCAATGAAATAATGAAGGAATCAAAATAGAATTTGAGGAGACGAAGACTCGCGAGGGAGTGCAATCATTCAAATAGGTTTCAAGTGGTGTACTTGATTTTTGCCGTTTTCTGTTGAATTTTTGAAATGTATTTCTTCGTTAACTAGCAGAATGATAAACAATCTGATATTTTGGGATTATTCGCTAGACTGTATCATATCAATATGCTGAATATGTGTACTTATTCCCAATACACCTTGTCTATATATACCTATTATCATTATTAACAAACTAATTGAACAAATAACATAAGAGTGAGGCTGTAACTAGTTCTATACTCTCACCTGCCATTGCATAAGCCTTTCCCGGTTATCGAATGCTAACACCACCACCACATCTTCACATAAAATAGCTACAGTATTGGATTCCTTATCTAATGTAAAACCAGTCTCTAATCCTAGGAATTGTTGAAGGGAGAGGGAAGCTTTGGTTTGGCCTTGCTTATATCTATCTTTGGAGTCTCTGTACAGCTGCAGATGTAAACAGTCTGAAAACAAAAAAAAGCGTTTTGAATCTACAAAAAGTATAATTTTTTCTAAGTAGTTGAAAGATAGTATATAGATCAACGTCATTATATCCGGAAATGATGCGCTTGGAAACTTTTCACTGAAGGGAATAATCAGAACAATAATTGATGAACGTCTGAAATACAAAAACCTATTTTCTATTTTCACTGAACGGATCATGGAATGTTTACACAAGGGAACAATCAGAACAATAATTGATGAACGTCTGAAATACAACAACCAATTCTCTATTTCAATACACATTCAACAGAAATTTGTCAACATCTCTTCAGGCGCCCAAAAAATCTCCAACCTATTGCACTGAATTGAGTTGAGTTGTCAAAATTTCAGTTCATATTGATGACCTCCCAGTGAATATACAGTATGATGCAAATGTATGGAATGAATTCATTTCAAAACAAGACGACTTTCGAAAAAAAAAAACAAAACTAGAGTTTAGAACTTTTTTTCGACGTATTTTTTTAACTAGACGACCCTTCGATGTTCAATTCTCAGTAGCAGACCTCTGCAAGATTCAGTTGATCACATGATAATCCATTTTGATTTCAATCTTCTTATGCAACATTTTTACTGTTGAATAGACGATCAGTAGACCTTTCAATCAAGGTGTCACATGACCCCTATTTGTATTTGATAAAATCGTCCATTACGTCTTTACTCCAACACCGGTGACGTAACATCTCTCATATGAATATCATGGGATGAGGTTTCAGAAATTAAAACTCACGTGTTTTTGGAATTTTTTCAAATGTCGCCCATTTCTGAAATAATGAATTTATTCCATACATTTGCATCATACTGTATACTTACTCGTATATAAAACGTTGATTCATGATTGGAATCGTGAAAATGACGCTGCTGGCTGGAATTTGGTTCAAAAAAGTCAACACGTTATCTAGACGTTTTATATCCAATAGTTTAATACATTATGTTGATCTACAACCACTATTCGACGTTGAAGCAAAACGTTGATACTTTCAAGCGATAACACGTCTTTCTTTTTGATGAAGCGACACTTTCTCAATGTACGATAGAATAATTGCCAGAGACAACCTATTTATTTCCTTAGAAGGATAATAGATTAGAACAATAAATTATTGTTCATTTCAACGTTTCAAATTCACATATTTATAACTCTCGATTTACTTGATACGTCATTCAATCGTGAACTGATAATGTTGAGAACACCTAAAAAACTAACCATTTCAAAACGTCTATTCTATTGGGAACAACATTCATTTGATATCAAATGAATGTTGTTGAAAACACATTTCTGTAGTGGTTAAAATCAACGGCCGTTGTGATAATTTCACTACGTTATTACGACGTAAGTGTGTTTACTAGGCTAACTTCAACAGCTTGCATCCCACTCAGATTACCAACTTCTTCTTGATGACATATCATTGAGGGGCATAGAAAGTAACAGCTCGTTGAGATTAGCTAGAAATATATATTTTTGTTACTTCCTTCAGAGGTGGTATTTGGAGAACCTAAATTTTTATATATTCTAGAAGTTCACGAGGGCGGAGATGTTCAAGAAGGATGGGTTTTATGATTTATTGAATCTTGTCAACACTCTATCGAAGATATCAATGTCACAGAGATGTTCACATGATAAAAATAGGACACGAATTGTCAATCGATCTAAGCAGTTACTTCAATATCCTATTTCTTCAGAAGAATCTATTCAAAGTAACTTAACTATATATACAATCCACATATTATGAATACAACAATGCAGTCCAAAAATTATTTATGGTCCTTTGAGCCGGATATGTTCCAGGGGCGTCGATAATTCATTTCTAGGAATAAGGGTAATGATTTCTTGATTTGAGTAGTGGGAAAAAAATATTATTATATATTATATATACAGAGCCATAAATAATATACAGGGTTGGTCATATGTGTGGAAACACCCTACTTATTCTGAATAAACCAGAAGTACTTACTATTCATTAATTTTTTTAACAAGACTTCTGAATTCTTTTCTGTTTCACACAGTGGACAATTTGATTTTCATTAGCTATCATATCGTTGTGAATATGACGCAGTCAGCATTTTTTTGTAAATGGGGTTTCATTTGTACATTATTGCAATCATGAATTCTTCCGGAAGAGCTGATTCCATCAATGCATCACCGTTGGGGTCTAGCATAAAAATAGTGTGCTCTAAATCGAGGTTTTTCAACGTTAGGATTTTTTGTGTAGAAACCTTTCATTATTGGTCAAAACGGCTCACATATCATCGTCTTGACATTTGATTGACTATCTAATGACATTTAATAATTGGAACATATAGAGGGTGATCAGAATTCTGAATCTAGAACCACCCTGTATTGTTCCAATCAAATATCAGTAGATAGTACATCTCTCAAACCAAACGGAACTGAAGGAAGATTGAACGTTATCAAGAGGGCCATGAGTTGGTAAAAAATTATCGTATTGGCCCTTTAATGATTCCATAGTGTGTATACACTCGTCTTTAGAGAACATGTACCATATGGAATCACGATAAGAGCATTTTCGCCGTCCGATAGCGAAATGTTTCCTGAAGACGAGTGAACCTACATACTCTTATATCTATTCTGCTGCTTTCATTGGTTTTATATGTAGACTGTTTGTTTGTGTTTGCTCTACCTGCTTAACATGATTTTCTCCTATGACTTTCTCTTTTTACATTATGCCATGAACAGAGACAACTATAGGAAAAAAATCAACTTCAGCAAGGTCCTTTGGTTTCATTTATACAATAGCTCTCATTGTGGTCTTCCACTAGCGCCTAGCCATAGCACCCCTATACTATACGAATATTGCCATGGTGGCAAGTCAAGACTAGTCAAGAGCGTATAATATTGTTTTGTTGTTTGTTTTGCCAGAAGCGTGGTGATCACTAGAGTAGTGTTCCTTCCTCCGAGCGAAAAGACTGGTGTCCAATTCCTACTCTAGCTATTCTTTTCTCCATTTTTTTTTCAAAGTAATTGATCGAAAAAATACTATGGAGGCATTTATTGGTTAGGCCGATGATGATTCGCTATTTCAATTATGTTTCTTCTCAGGATCGGCCTGAAATTTTCAGTTTCTCGCACCCAGCGAGCGAGGCGCAATATTACAAATGCTATGGTTAGACTCTAGTTATTCTTCTCAGATCATAGAGAGGCATACCATTATTCTTTTGACTACTGGCGCCACCTAGGGGATCAATTTGAAACTAGGCTATAGGAAACTCCCAATAGGAGTTGCTCGGTTTTGTTACAGCTCTTCGAAAGTAGATAACTATTACGTCTGGATCAAGTATTTACATCTTCGGCCGATAGATGGCGCAAACTTCGATCTTATAGTCAATAATCACTTTTAATCTGTTTTCATATTATTTATTCAACTCTACTTATAAGAATGGCTGATTTATGAATTTGTCAAGATGTTTGAAATAGAAAAAAATATAGGAATACCTACTCACTTTAGAGGTATGTACGAAGCCCTGGAAGGGACACATAAAATGAAAAAAATAAAAACTCTTCAAAATTCCGACTTATAACTCGGAATTTTAAAATTCCGAGTTATAACTCGGAATTTTAAAATTCCGACTTATATCTCGGAATTTTAAAATTCCGTGTTATAACTCGGAATATTGGATGTAAAATTCCGAGTTATAACTCGGAATTTTAAAATTCCGAGATATAAGTCGGAATTTTACATCCAATATTCCGAGTTATAACACGGAATTTTAAAATTCCGACTTATATCTCGGAATTTTAAAATTCCGAATTATAACTCGGAATTTTAAAATTCAATATTCTGAGTTATAACACGGAATTTCAAAATTCCGAGTTATAACTCGGAATTTTACATCCAATATTCCGAGTTATAACACGGAATTTCAAAATTCCGAGATATAAGTCGGAATTTTGATGTAAAATTCCGAGTTATAACTCGGAATTTTAAAATTCCGAGTTATAAGTCGGAATTTTGAAGAGTTTTTATTTTTTTTTATTTTATGTGTCCCTTCCAGGCCTTCGTAGTACGGTCATAGTTTCATAAGAAATTATTTCAATTCCTAACATTAATTGATACACATTTCTTTAGAATGTTGGGGTTATCTCTCCTGGTGTCTATAAATGGGTATATCAGTTCAATTTCAATATACCTGTGTAGTAAGGAAAATTCATATGATTTGCCTCAAAATGTCACTGCGCTTGAAATTTATACAGGGTGTTCTTGAAGTACGTGTAGAAAATTCAGGAGCATGTTGCTGACGTCAAAATAAGAAGAAAAGTTCGTATAAATATATGTCCAAAGGTATTCGTTTCTGAAATACAGAGTGTCAAAGTTTAATTCTTATTTTTGTTTTTTTTTTTGGAATAATCGTGATATTTGAAGAAATGAAATTTGGTATCTAGGGGTATTTTTCAATGACAATATCAAATGATATGTTAGTTTGTCTCTCTCGTGGTACATGTCTTTTGAGTCTTTTGAAAAGTCATAACTTTTTTGTGCGTACCTGAATAACGTTTCATAGTGAAAAAAATAGATTTCTGGAACACTTTTGTGTGAAAAATACATTCCTGGTAGAAGTTGCTGCGAGCAACTGTTTTCAAGTTATTGGGATTCGAAATAATCGATGCATTTGAATTATTGCCATGTGGCTCGTAATTCGCCTCTAGTGAATATCAGAAAAGATACGCCAGTGCATGTTTTTTCTTTCATTCAATATTCTTCTACATTCAACATTGGAATGTATATAGGCAAAATATGATTCTTACTTCTTTATACCTACTTTTTTGGATTCTTCCAATTCAAGAAAATGAAAACAGGTTGGTTACATCCTAATATCAATAAAAGATGACAAGGGGGAAAGGGTTTTATTTTTGCAACAGCAAAGGGCGAACCGTGTTGGGTTCTGCTGTTCCAAAAATGAAACCACCCTCCCCCTTTTCAACATTCATTTATATAAGGATATAACC